CCCCCTGCCCAGCCCAGCCCCCCCCCCTCCCCTGGGGCGCAGCCCCTGAGGACCCGCCTCCGCCGGCTGCCACCACCACCAGCCCCACTGCTCTCTCACCACCCTGGGTCTGTCTTTCTGGGTCCTATCTCTGTCTGTCTGTCCCCCTCTTTGTTTCTGTGTCTCTTTCCCTCCCTCTATCTCTCTCCCAGTCTCCCCTCTCCATCTCTGTCTCTGTCTCTCTCACACTCACTCACAGGAAAAGACAGTCTCTCCAGGTGTGCCCCACACCCTGCTGCATTTATTCCACAGTCACACACATCTCTCCTGTGTGTCCCACACAGCCTCTCCTTCCATCACACAGGCTCTCCCTCCCTGTCACATCCACTATTTCAGCGTCACCCATCACAGATGACCCCTCTCAGCACACAGCCTCGTACTCACAGTCCCTCACACAGAGACCCACAATAACTCGCTGTGTCACAGGTATTACCACAGATTCTCACAAATGGTCTGTGCCCAACACACAATCTCCCACAGTGCCTGTCACATGGTCTCTCAAAATACCACACACAGTCCTGCACAATCTTTGAGTGTGACACGTCGTCACCAATGACACCTTGCACAACCACGACCAGATATACTTTTTCAGTGTCAAATGTACAGTTTTACACAGTGTCACACAGTATTTCAAGATGTCACACACACACTCATCGGATAAAAACTTCTCTGTCTGACATCCTATCTCAGTCTCACGCTGTCTCAGTGCCTCACATAGTGACATGTAATTACTCATGCAACCTCCTTGTCAAACACTATCATATGTTTTATTACACAGTAACAGTCATATCCAGTGACTCCCACGAACAGTCACATACATTCTTGTACAATCTCTAAATGTCATACAGTCTTACACATTTCCTGACACATAGTCACACAGAGTCTGTCCACCCCCACTGTCATGTACAGAACCTCTTCTTGAGCTTCAGTCCGTATCACACAACACACAGCTGTCGCCCTCACACAATAATCTCCCACGCCGCACACTTACACACACAAGGTCTCTCTCCTACTCTACTCTTTATTTTTGTTAATCCGCACTGGAGGATATTTTTCCCATTGATTTTTAGAGAGGGTAGAAGGGAAGGAGGGAGGGGAGAGAGAGAGGAAGATGGATGAGAGAAACATCGATTGGCTGCCTCCCCAACACACTCCAGGCGTGGCCGGGAATTGAACCTGCGACCCTTTGGTGCACGGCCGACACTCTAACCACTAAGCAACACCAGCCAGGGCTCTCTTGTACTCTAATCTCTGAGTGCCCTGCATAGTTGCACACTTTCTCATGCACTGTCACAACGCTGTGCCAGTCTGTCAGCCTCCCACACAATCTGTGTCACACACAGTCACATACCCTTCTCACAGTTCACCAGCGAGGCTGACACATGCTGTCTCACATTCACTTGGTCTCTGTGTCACACCCTGTCCCTCTTGGCCTATCACACTACCTTCTCACGCCGTCTCTAGGTGGATCACACTCATTCAGTGTCACACATTGTCTGCCCATGTGACACACACAGCACTCGTGTCACTATGTTGCACACTGTCACACACAATCTCTCACCCTCACATATGATTTCTTGACGCCACAATCCCCCAAATAGTGTTTTGGTACACCTAACCTCATGGTGTCACACGAAGTCATATACATGTCATCTCTCTCTTCTCACACACAGTCACATACAACTTCTGGGTGTGACACAGTTTCACAATCATACTCTGGTTGTCACACATCTCACAAGGTCACATAGCCACACACAACCCCTGACTTCATTCACAATCTCCCAGTAGTACACACTTACAGTCTCTCGGTGTCACACACCATCTCCCGTGTCACCCACGGACGCCTGGTGTCTCTCTCACATTCAGCACACACCTGCGGGCGCGCACACTCAGCCCTCAGTCCTCTCGTGACAGTCCCCTGCCGGCCACACGGGGGCGCCCGCGCCAAAGCCGTACGAGGAGGTGGAAATCCGAGGGCAAGGCGCTCCCGCGGCCGGGTGGGTGCAGACACTGGAGACGAGAGATGCAGGAAGGTGGAGGGGGCGACAGGGAGAGAAATGAAGACGGGCTGGGACACCGAGAGAGGGGCTGAGCCGTGCAAGGAGAGACAGACGCAGAGAGAGACTGGGACAGACAAATCTGGAGAGAGACCTACGGACTCGGGGAGACAGACAAGCAGAGGATCGCAGAGAGACAGAGACACAGAGACATGAGGGTACAGGAGAGACACACAGACAGAAAGGTAGACTCGGAGACGGGGACCGAAAAATACAGACACCCAGGCAGAGACGGGCGGGTGGACCAGCCTTGCTCAGGGGACGGTGGCGGAGGCGGGGCCTGCGGAGGTGCGTCTCGGGGGCGGGGCCTCGGCGCCCTGAGGGGCGTGGTCCGGAGGGGAGGGCGTGGCCTGGATGGGCGTGTCCCGGCCACCCCAGACAGAGGCGGGAAGGCGGAGGCCAGAGCCCAGGAAAGAGGTAGAGGTGGGGGAAGGAGCGTCTCTACCGCAGTCAGCCCATCGCAGTTCGGATTTTACGACCTGGTCAGGGGAACGAGACCGGCGGGGAGGGGACACCGGCCCAGATCCGTGGTGTAGCCATTTGATTGGGGGGGTGTCGGACCCTGGCTCCCCTCCCCCCCTACTCTGCGGGAGCAACGGGCCAGGTGGGGGAGGGGAACCAGGCTCACATCTGGAAAGCATCAGGCTCGCCGGACGTGCCAGGGCCCCGGGCCTACTGCGGAAGGGGGGTGGGGAGCTAGGGCGCCCTAGTTCCCCCCCTTAGCCGGGTTTGCCGGCGCCGGGGAGGGGCCTGGGCGTGCGCCCGGCCTCCGCGCCTCCAGCAGCTGGTTTCCATCAGTAGTTCTGGCCCCGGCAGCCCCGGAGAAGGAAACTCAACTTAGAGCGAGGGTAGACGGGGTGACAACCCAACCTCCCCTCCCCCTCGCCGACGACGGCCAGGGGCTGGGGACTAGGGGAGACGGACACCGCCTGAACCGAGCGTAACCTCCACTTCTCTCCTGATTTGCCGTCCTCAGCCCTCTTTTCACCCTACGCATGACCTTATTTCCGAGGTGTGCAGGAATCGCCCCAGTCTCATGACAACCTAGTAGTCAGTGGTATTATTGGCCCCATTTTTTGGATAGGGAAACCGAGACCCTGGCTTCAGATCCAGGTCTGGCTTTAATTATCCAAGAAACGTGCAATGAACGCCAACGGTAATTCTAGGAGGAAATACCCAGCGGCCTACTGTATATTCCCACCTGGGTGTCTGCTGGGAATCTCAAACTTGGCAGGTCCAGCTGAGCT